TTATTCTAAGTGTTAACATTTCAGGTTAGAAGTGGGGTTGAGTCTGGATTTGATTTCTAACCTAGAACCCTGCATGCAAAATATCCCTCAATTTGCAGCAAAAATCAGTTTGTTACAAATGACTTCCTTCCAACTCAATCTCAAAAAAGAAAGAAAGAAAAAGAGAAAGAGAGAGAATACACACATTTCTACACAAAATAAGACCCATGTTAGAAAAAGCACAAACTCTTGCCTTGAGATAGAATAATTTGTAACTACCCAAATTCCATTTTGGATTCCTCGAGTTTTCTGTGAGCATCTCTCATTTTTACTCTGGGGAAATCCCCTTGCCCTCTAGAATCTATGTGGAAATTAGAATTGCTGATTTATTTATTGCCTTTATTTTATTTTTATACCACTTTCCTACATATATGCTGCTTCCAGGACAACATACAACAAGAACATGGTTACAAACAATAAAAACCATCATAAAAGAAGAATAATGCAACAAAACAGCACAGGGAAGTTATTAACTAAATGCCTGCCTAAATAAAATGTTTTTTGCACTTGCTTTGCATAGAAGAGATCTCATCCAGGCCAAGCTAGACCTTTGGAGCATGACAGAGTATTACACAACATCCCATCTTTTTCCTGGATTGCTATCAAGACTGCTGTAAATGAAAACTAGTTTCGGTTAAATTACCTTTAGCCCACTTCAGTCATTTGTAAGATATAGCCTTCTTTCAGGAATTTTATGTTTTGCTTTTCTTCCATATATATTTCTACATGGCCTTCTACTGGATTCCAGTTGTCAACAACACCAAACAGTAGGTAGGCTTATTCTAGCCCCAGCAACCAAATCACTTGGGGTACATCTACACTGGAGAAATAATGTAGTTTGATACCATTTTAAATGCTGTAGGTCCACCCTATGGAATCTTGGGATTTGTAGTTTTACAAGGTCTTCAGCCTTCTCTGCTTACCAAACTACAAATCCCAGGATTCTGTAGGATGGAGCCACAGCAGTTAAAATGGTGTCAAACTGCATTGTTTCTACAGTGTAGATGCAAGGGTGGCTATGAAAGAACGAGACAAGATCCTAAGGTTTAAAGATATACAACTGAACACTAAAGTTAGACTCACCCATGCTGTTGTCTTCCTTATCACTATGTATGGATGCGAGAGCTGGACAAGGAAGAAAGAAGATAAGAGGGAAATCAACTCTTTTGGGATGTAGTGCTGGGGCCAAAAAGACAAAGAAGTGGGCCCTTGAACAGATAAAGCCAGAAACTTGCCTGGAAGCCAAGATGATCAAATTAAGGCTGTCGTACTTTGGACACATCATGAGAAGGCACAATGCATTAGAAAAGGCAATAAGGAAAGGTGGAAGGAGAGGGAGACCACAGGCATGGATGTACAACATCTAAGCAGAGCAATGAAGGATAGGATGGCTTGGAGATGTCTCATCCCCAGGGTCACCATGAGCTGGGGTTGACTCAAGGATATTTTGCAACAAGAAGACGGATCCTTGGATAGGAAAGCCATTGAGGTATAGCAAAAGGAGGGAAGGAAAGAGAAAATCACACAAAAAAGAGGAGAAATAAATAAATACATCATAGAGCAAATCAAGCCTGAACTCTCCCTAAAAGCCAAGATGGCTAAACTGAGACTGGAAATATCATGAGAAGACATGACTCACTAGAAAGGACAATAATGCTTGGGAAGGTCGGAAAGGAGGAAGACCTCATTACAGGTGAACAGACTCAACTATGGCCCTGAGTCTGCAAGACCTGAGCAGCGCTGTTGAGGACAGAGTGAGTTGAAGGCCTTTCACTCATGGGGGGTCACCAAAATTGAAGTAACTTGATGACAGTTAACACCAACAATGAATGCCATGCATAATTCCTCCTAATAGGAAAACTAGCTGTACAAGACACCCACAAGAGGAACCCATAAGACCTCCAAGATGGAAGCACACAAGAAAAAATCTTGACTTAAAAAATAACCGTGCCTTCATGTTACAAAACAAAAATGGCAGCCTAAGTGCCCCCCATAGACCTAATTCTTCTGCTGCATTTTCTGCTGAAGGGAAGCAAGGGTCTTCATGAAATGATTAGAAACTTGGTGGGAAGTGCCTTCAGTGTCTAATATCAAGATGGAAATATGCTTGCTAACCAGCATAAATGACCAAAAACAAAAGTTCTCTGTGAATTCCAACCCAAGTTGGTGGTATGGAGAATTCGACCCTCTTAATATTTGCCACAGCTGACAAGACCTCTCTACTGAGTTGGGGAAGAGAGACAGAAAGGCAGCAGGGCTGAGCGAACTCAGAAGGCTCCAAGTGCCCCAGGACAACTGTGGGGTGGGAATAGGAAAGAAGAAGTACGCTTAGCGGAGGGTGGAGGAGGAAGAGAAAAGGATGAGCC